TGTGAGACTTGTGCATTTCCTTACTTAGTCTCCATTTTAGCTAGTCTCTCAGCTGGTCTCCCAATTAGTCTCCGAGCTTTAGCTAGTCTCCAATACACTCAAGCTAGTCTCCCATACGGTCCAATACACTTGAGCTAGTCTCCATTTTAAGCTAGTCTCCCATACGGTCCAATAAACTTGAGCTAGTCTCCCATACGGTTTGATATACTTTGAGCTAGTCTCCCATACGGTATACGGTCCAATATACTTGAGCTAGTCTCTCATACTGTCCAAATTAGTCTCCCAAGCAAGTTAAAAATGCTTCACTTAAGATTCAAAACTTAGGATCACTTAGCATAACTCACACACGTTTCTTCCAACTCTTCTAACATGGTTCTTAATGACTTATCCGCAACATAATTATGTTAAGCTATAATCCCGCTTAACATCTAAAATCAAATTATGATTTTCCAAACTTGTACATGGGTTGCATGATATAGGTGCACCATACTCCGTAGACTAAGACTGACTCAAATAGAATAAAATTGGGGACTAGATTTTTCAAAAATACATTCGGGTCATCAAAATTTACAATATATTCCTAACAATTTCCCCCTTTTTGATGATGCCGAAACTTATACCCAAGTCATTTTGGCTTTGTCAATTTTGAAAAATAATTTCTTTTTAATGCTTTTATTTCGACTAGCCAATTGACGGGTTTAACAAAAATTGTGACTTAGAGATTTTAAAATTTGGACAACTTAAACGTATATATGAGACTTTGACCGTGGGGTGTTCAATTTTCCTTTTAGCTTGAATTTTTCTTCCCCCTAAATTTTATATTCTCATTTTATACGTGTTACAAAATTAATTCTAAGTCCAAATTAAAATCTTGTGACATAAGAACACAAAATAAATTAACTAAGACTCACTTAGTATGGTACGAAATATTGTCATCATGCAATTTTGACCCATTTTTAGCTTAGCATAGATATGATATCAAGGAGTAATGTGCTAGCTAAAATAATTTATACACCAAAAATTTTGTTTGTCAATCAAGTTTGTTACCTCCCTTTCAACTTGGCATTGATGAAGTCTCTTAACTTCTTGAAATCCTTCTCTAACCCTTTGTGTTGATAGGGTGCGGTCACTTGTCCGGTGACATAGTTGCCGTACGCTTCTCTAATGTTGTTTCCTTTCAATACCCCTGCTTCGTGCCAAAAAATACATTCATCAAATGTTCGGCCGTCACACATTTGCTCACTACGGTGTCCGAACTCCGTTTGAAGCTCTTGCAATTTTTGAATCCTTGTAGCAATTGGCTTCGGCATTGGTGGCATTGGAGCAATCGGCGTAGGTGGCAACACTCCGTGAGAGGTAAAACTCGGGTTTGGGCAAGTTCCTCTAAGGTAATCTATCATGCTCACTCGGCTTGGAGCTCTTGGTGATGTCGGTCGAATGAGCTCAACTAATGGTCCTCTTGGAGCTCTTGGTTGTGTGTAGGCATAAGCTTGTGGCACAAAATGACGTGCTAATCCTTCCCCCTTTTCGGCAGCATCCATGAACTTTTGAAAGCTTTTGGTGGAGGAATCTTGCTTGTCACGAACTCCTTCAAGAAGATCCATGTTGATACGTGATTGTTGAAGTAATCCTTGCACTTGTTGTTCCAAAAGTTTGAGCCTCGAAGTAGTATCGGACCCATGCTTTCCCATTTCATTGAACAACTTCATCACATCATTCTTCAACTCATTCTTTGCCGTGTCAATTTCGGTCTTTAATAGGCCTTGCCTATTAAACAATTGTAGAACCCGATCCACCATTTCCTTGTGATATCCATCAAGCTTTGTGTCCATTGCATCCATCTTTGTGCTCAATTCACCCGTAGACTCTTGTAGAATGGCCTTAACATCCTCAACAATTTCTTCCCTTAAGGCTTGAGCATTGAACAATGGTTCACTTTGCACGGGTGGGGTTGGAATCAGCAAAGGGTGTGCAAAATCATCTTGTGGTGTGGTGATCATTATGTCAACAAGGTTGGATTCAGCTTCTTCGGTGTTGTAGCAAAGTAACAAAGTAGACCGATTTCTTGGATGGTCTTGATCATAGAATTCATAAGAGGGTGGCAAAGTAGGCAAGTTCCTTGTTTCATCCAAGTTTAAAGAGATCCCTTGACTTGGTGCATTTCCTTCCTCATGAATGGACCCCGTAACCTCCGTTTCGGGATGTGGAAAGTAAGACTCAAAACTCAAATTTTCATCCCCAAAATTTGCAGGATACGGATCAATCTCCAGGAGCCCTACATCATCATTCCTCGCCAAAGATCCCTCTACGGGTCCTCTTCAGCTATCCTCCAAAGACATAGCGGTTGCCCGGCGAATATCATTGGGATCAATTTCACCTATAGGCACTTCGGTTGTGGCTTCAACCATAACACCTTTTTCGGTTCTCTTCTTCTTAGCAAGCTTGGTCAAAAAGCAAGAATTAATCACCGAAAGATGGGTAGCTCTAGCAAGATCACGTGAGCCTAACCAACTCAACACCAATTCTTCTCTTTCCAAAGTATTTGGCCCTATTGTTTCGGCCAACATGTTATGGTCTCCCAATCTCCATGCTCTCCATTCTAGTGCTCTTTTATACTCCTCCAAAAGTGCACTATCCGCCCCAATTGTTGATATGTTTTCAATATAAAGGAGTAGTATATTAGTTCAGTTTATTTTACTTTATTTTATGTGGTTAGACTTTGTCTGGCTCTGTTAGAGTTAGTCTCCATATTATTAGCATTAGACTTATTCTCCATGTTATTAGCTTAAGAGCTGGTGTACTCAGGCTATTTAAAGCCCTCTTCCTTTTCATAATATCATGGTCACTTACTCTCTCTATATGGTATCCAGAGCCACACTCTAACGAGCAAATTAATTTTTTTTTCCTGCCTTCCTCTAAATGGCTACAACTACAGAGAAACAAGTCATTCAACTCACTGCCCCAGCAAATTTCCCTATTAAATTAACGTCTTCCAACTTTCAAGTTTGGAGAAAGCAGATTCAAGCCTCTCTTATTGGCCTTGATTTACTCGGCTTCATTGACGGCACCTCCCCAGCTCCTGCTCAATTCCGTGATACATCACAAAAGGACCCTAATCCAGAGTACACCACATGGTTTAGACAAGATCAAACCATTCTCAACGCCATTTTAGGGAGCTGCTCCGACACTATCCAACCGCTAATCTCTTCCGCGACATCCTCTGTTATCGCCTGGGAACGATTAACTACAACTTTTGCAAGCTCGTCGCCGTCTCGCATTGTCTCACTAAAAACCAAACTGGCTTCTAATCCTCAAAATGGCCGTCCAGTTGAAGAATATATTGATGAAATGTTCAATATTGCTGAAGCTCTTGCACTTGCTCAAAACCCAATTACTGAGCAAGACCTGGTAATCCACATTCTTACTCAACTCAATGATGACTATGATCACATAGTCCCTGCCCTACGTATACGGCCAGTCCCTATTACATTCTCAGAACTCAAGGACGTGCTCACAGAATTTGAAAGGCAACAGAAGAAGAAAGATGCTGCTAGACAATCGCTGGTTGCTACGGTCAATACCACCCAACGCCAGTCTGGTTTTTCACAAAATAGTCGAAATGCTTACAAGTCCAACCAGAATAATAATGGTCAGCAGTCTTATCAATACCAACGGTCCAACAACTCCAATCAACGGCGCCGAAATGTGGTATGCAAATTCTGTAATTTCAATGGCCATGAAGCTCGCGAATGCCGTAAGCTGCAACGCTTTTTGAGAGACAATAATGTCTCTATAGATGATAGGTTCGGGAGAAATCCCGCAGTGAATACTACAACCATGAACTCTCAGTCGCCATGGTTGTTTGACTCGGGTGCGTCCCATCATGCCACCTCGGACCCTTCTATGCTACAGTCTTTCTCTGAGTATGGTGGACCGGATGAGATCCATTTGGGTGACGGTAATTCTCTGTCTATATCTCACACTGGTAAAACTTCTCTCCCAACTAAAACCCGTCATCTTACTCTATCTAATGTCCTGTGTGTTCCACAACTACAACGCAACTTAGTCTCTATTTCAAAACTCTGCAAATCTAATCATGTATCTGTTGAATTTTTTGACACTCATTTTGTTGTGAAGGATCGGCTCACGGGGGCGCCACTTCTGCACGGGAGGAACGTCCATGATGTGTATAGTGCTCCAGTGTCATCTCCACCTCAAATAAATACAACCAATAAGTCTAGTCTTGCTAGTTGGCATTATACCCTCGGTCACCCGTCCAGCAGAACACTGACTCAAATGCTAAGAAGTGCCAATCTTTCGTTTCGGTCTATTTTGGGTTTTCAATGTAAGTCTTGTCTTAGTAATAAAAGTCATAAATTACCGTTCCATGAAACCACAATGTCAAGTTCGAGACCTCTCGAATTGTTGTACTCGGATGTTTGGAGTACAAAACAACAGTCTGTTGTTCGGTTCCGGTACTATGTGATTTTTGTGGATCATTTTACCAGGTATATATGGCTTTTTCCTCTAGTTAAAAAAATCTGATGTGTATGCTGTTTTCTCTCAATTCAAAAAGCTAGTTGAGAATAAATTCAATCACAGGATACACACCTTGTTTTAAGATAATGGTGGTGAATTCCAAAAATTAAAACCTTTGTTAAGCTCCTGTGGTATATCTCACTTCACTAGCCCACCGCACACACCTGAACATAATGGGATGTCTGAACGTCGACATAGACATATTGTCGACACTGGGTTATCGTTGCTCCATCATGCATCTATGCCCTTAGCCTACTGGTCATATGATTTTCAGACAGCAGTATACCTCATCAATCGAATGCCCACTCCAGTCCTTAAAAATAAATCTCCCTTTCTCACGTTGTTTGGCACTACACCGAACTACTCTAAACTACAGTCGTTTGGGTGTTTGTGTTATCCCTGGCTCAGACCTTACACGAACTCCAAAATCCAACCCCGGTCAAAGCCTTGTGTATTCATAGGTTATTCTACGTCACAATCTGCATACAAGTGTCTTGATCGTATGACAGGACGTGTCTATTTATCCCGTCATGTTCGTTTTGTCTCGTTTGATTTTCCTTTTCAGGCACTATCACAGACGCGGAGTTCCCCGGCAGATGTGGCCAGCACCAAAGGTGACAAGCTTATTCCTTATCATATTTTCTCTTCTATACCAGCTGTACCCATAAACATGTCTCCACCCAAATTCATGTTGACTCACCTGCTGCCTTACATAATCACAATACTCACCCTGATGCCACGCAGTCCCATAACTCCACAAACTTTCAGCCGTCACCTGAACACACTCCCATAATGTCGCAGCCCCCTGTCGCCCATCATCATTCTGCTACCAGTATGCCTTGTTCCAGTCAGCAGCGAAGTCACTCAGTCGACACTCCACAGCATTCGACTGAGTCTTCATCGTCTAGCGCTCAAAATGTGGTGAGTAGCAGTTTGGCCGAGTCAGATATGTCGCCACCTGTAGATGAGACAACTGCAGGAGGTGTCGCACATATGCAAGCTCCTCAAAGTCAACCTCTACGGCGGTCAAGACGTATGAGACTACAAAATCCCAAGTACTTTAATTCTCACTTTGTTAATTTCACAACAAAGCATGACTTGCCTACGTTACTAGAGCCGACCTCTGTAACTCAAGCCCGCAAGTCTCCAGAATGGTGTAATGCTATGGACGACGAATATCAGGCGTTGCTACGGAATAACACGTGGGACTTAGTACCACCCTCGTCTCATACTCCAATTGGGTGTAAGTGGGTTTTCCGAATTAAGCGAAAACCCGATGGGTCTGTTGAACGGTATAAAGCCCGGCTGGTCGCTAAGGGGTATTTACAAGAAGCAGGCAAGACTACTTTGATACATTCAGCCCGGTTACAAAGTCGGCAACGATACGAATTGTTCTGACGCTAGCGTTAGCCTCTAACTGGCCGTTACGACAGTTGGATGTTAACAACGCGTTCTTGCACGGGACCCTGTCAGAAGAGGTATACATGAAACAGCCACCGGGATTTTGTGATCCTGAACGTCCAAAGCATGTGTGCCGTCTGAAAAAGGCGTTGTATGGTTTAAAGCAGGCTCCTCGAGCATGGTATATGGAGTTGTCATCCTTTCTTATTTCTTTTGGTTTTCGAAAATCTCAGGCGGATTACTCTTTATTTATCTATCAAGATGATGATGTTGTTGCATATTTTATGGTGTATGTGGATGATGTGGTTCTAACAGGGAATTCACAGAGTTTCTTGGATCGGTTTGTTACTTCTCTGGCAGCACGGTTTGCACTCAAGGACTTAGGGATGTTGCATCACTTCCTTGGTGTGGAGGTGATATCGACTAAGACTGGTATTTTCCTTTCTCAGGCTGAATACATTACAAACATCCTTAAAGAATTTAGTATGCAAGATGCCAAACCCATTTCTACACCGGGGTCTGCGATTGAACTGCATGGTGCTGACGGTGCGTCTCCTGCTGATAGCACCTTGTACCGTTGCGCGGTTGGACGGTTACAATATCTGGCCATTACTCGACCAGATGTGAGTTTTGTTGTTAATCGGTTGTCTCAGTTTTTGAATTCTCCGTCACTACTACACTGGCAAGGGGTGAAACGGGTGCTGCGTTATCTTAAAGGTACGCTGTGTCATGGTTTATTTTTACGCCGTGGTGTGCAGCTCCATCTCACTGCTTTTTCGGATGCGAGCTGGGGTGGTGTATATGACGGTGGGCGGTCAACTACGGGCTATGTTGTATACTTGGGCTCAAATGTTATCTCTTGGCGGTCTATTCGACAGAAGGTGGTGGCTCATTCATCCACTGAAGCAGAATATAGAGCCCTGGCAAATGTTGCGGCAGAAGTTGTGTGGGTACAGAATTTGCTACTCGATCTTGGGGTACGGCTCACTAGGCCACCATTATTGCGTTGTGACAATGTTGGTGCCACTTATGTTTGCAAAAACCCGGTGTATCACTCCAGAATGAAGCATCTAGCCTTAGATTATTTCTTTGTGCGTGATCTTGTTAGTAATGGTACATTGTCAGTTAGCTATATTCGTACACAAGATCAGATTGCCGATGTGCTTACCAAATCGCTACCGCGTCGGTCATTTGAAGGCTTCCGTTCCAAGCTGGGTGTCTCCGATGGATCCACCATCTTGCGGGGGCGTATAAAGGAGTAGTATATTAGTTCAGTTTATTTTACTTTATTTTATGTGGTTAGACTTTGTCTGGCTCTGTTAGAGTTAGTCTCCATATTATTAGCATTAGACTTATTCTCCATGTTATTAGCTTAAGAGCTGGTGTACTCAGGCTATTTAAAGCCCTCTTCCTTTTCATAATATCATGTTCACTTACTCTCTCTATATTCAACACTTCCACCTTCAATTTGGTCATTCACAACAACATCCACTTCAACTCTATTTTCCTCAACAAATCCGTGGCTCTCAAGAATAGGATGGTTCAGGTTTTGAGTGGGTAAGGGTCTAGAATTTTGGTGGCTAGTTTGTTCTTCATTTGATCGAATGGCAGGGGTGTTCGATCCTTCGTTGCTTGGTTCTCGGATATATTGTCTAAGATCTTGGAAGGGGTTGGGTAATTTTCTTTTTCGGGTGGGTTTTGGTAGGCTTGTGGGTAAGGTGGGATTTTTTGGTTCATTTGTGTTGGGTGGCCGAAAGAGATAGCTATGGTTTGTGATGTGTTTGGCTTTGGTAAGGGTAACATTTTTAGTTCTCAAGATTTCACCAACGGCAAACCCGTAACCAATCTCTTGTTGAAACCATCCGTCCACCAAAGGCTTGGCCTTCCTTATAGACTCACACAACCTCCCAAACATGAAAGCACCCCAATTCACACAAACATTGTTCAAAATTATGTCCATAATCAACAATTTATCCCCCGATAACTTGTCACGGCAATGATACCGGGACTCTACACATTTATGAACAATATCCAACAACAACCCGTAATCCTTCTTTAAATCCTTTTTGTTGCCATTAATCTTCGGAGATAGCAGTGCGTTAGCATCGCGAATCTCGGCCCAAATGGCATTAACATCATGCACATAATTTTCTACCCTCAAACTCGTTTCAACAAGATTAAACATTCTCCGAAAATCTTCGAGTTTTGTTTCTACATCAACACCTTTGATCATAGAAATAATTGAGTCATTCTCTACTCTAGCATTCATGTATAATTCAACCACCTCATCCTTATAGAAACCGACATATCTAAATGTGCAAAAATTTAACAACCCACAAGTTTCGAGAGAGTTGATAATTTTTACCCCTAAGGCTTTGTCCTCCACTTGTTTGTTGAAGTCGGTGACATCAAGGATCATTCCACTAAGCACTCGGCTAGACTTCCTTGTTCCTTCGGTGGTGATTGTCTCCACATCCACTTGATTGGCATCCATTTGAGTAGAAATTGAATTTAGGAATTTTTTGGGTGAAAATTGGGTGTTTCGGCAGTGAGGTCCGAAAAATGGTAAAGAGGAATGGGTATTTGGATTGAGAGGTTATTTGGGTAGGTTTTTGGGTTTGGGTGATGGATTTTTGTGTGTAGAAGAGTTTTGTGTAGAAGATTTAGAGTGGGTGTTTGAGCATTGGGAGATTTTTGGTTTCTTCTTGTGCGTTTTTCCGGCCGGCGAGAGAGAGGGAAGAAGTGAATTTGTGTTGTTCTTGAATTCCAACTTCTACCCGTTAGAATTGAGGGAGAAGAGTGAGAAATTACTCTTTTGCCCTCTAGTGGGTAGAGAGAGAGTATTGATCTCCTTGAAGATAAATTCGACCTTCCACATGATTTAAATTTGCCAACTCAGATTTATATTCTCCATTTGTGAGTACATGGCGCCAAAAATTGTGCTTCAAATAACCGCCAACCTGGAGCAAATCAGAAAAAAAAATCTCGAAAATAATCTGTTAGACCAATAAATATGCTCCAGATAAATATTATTATTTCGATTTCATATTTCAATAAAGCTGATTTTTCTGAAAAGGATATCTGATAAAAATAAATTGATCAAACAGATACCTAATATCTGTAAAGAAGGTTACAAGTTCCCAAAACAATTGACTTTGCAAATGGGCCTCTCTTTTTGACATTTGATTTCCAAAAATTGTGGGCAAACTTTCATCAGAAAAAGCTTTCTTTAATAAACCCATTTAGGCATTTAGAAACTAAATTCCCTTAAACATATGCTTAACAAAATTAACCCAATTAACAATATTCGCCCTAAATTGCATGCTAATCTCAAATAAGCAAATTAGGCAAATAAATTACACAGATTAAATATCTTATGACAAATTAAATAAACGTACATAACATATAGATAAATCGTAAATGTAGGTACGCAGATTTCGTAAGATAAAATTATAACACTTAAATTTTAAGAAAACATGTACACAATTAAACATATATCATACGTACACAAATTAAAACACATAGGTCACATAAATTATAAGCAATATATACAGTACGTAACAAAAATTTAACAGCAATTAAGAGTTTTAGAAATTGCTTAGCTCATTTCGATCATTCCCATTTCATGCCTTAGAGTAGCAAAACGAGATTCACACAATGGCTTTGTGAGAATATCGGCAATTTGATTCTCCGTGGGAATATGATCGATTGTCAAATCCTTCTTTTCGACGTGGTCTCGGATAAAATGGTGTCGAACATCAATATGCTTGGTTCGCGAATGAAGCACCGGATTTTGGGTTATGGCGATTGCACTAGTATTATCACATAAAATGCTAACATTTTCGCACTTAATCCCATAGTCCAATAATTGTTGCTTCATCCACAAGATTTGTGCACAACAACTCCCAGCTGCAATATATTCGGCCTCCGCAGTGCTCGTAGCTATGGAGTTTTGCTTTTTGCTGAACCAAGAGACCAATCTTCCCCCTAAGAACTGGCATGTCCCTGAGGTACTTTTTCGGTCTATTTTACAACCTGTAAAATCTGCATCTGAATAACCTGTTAGTGTAAAATCTCCTTCTTTGGGATACCATAATCCCACATTGATTGTTCCTTTGAGATATCGAATTATCTTCTTGGTTGCAATCAGATGACTTTCTTTGGGCTTTGATTGGAATCTTGCGCATACGCCAACCGAGTAGGATATGTCCGGTCTGCTCGCGGTTAAGTATAACAATGATCCAATCATTCCTCGATACATCGTTTGATCGACATCTTTTCCTTCATCATCTTTATCCAATTTTTGAGATGTGCTCATGGGAATTTTGACTGAGGATTTTCCATCTATGCCAAATTTCTGGATAAGATCTCTTGTGTACTTGGCTTGATTTATGAAAATTCCTTCTTCAAGTTGCTTGACTTGCAATCCCAAAAAGTAATTTCATTCTCCCATCATACTCATCTCGAACCTGTTCTGCATGAGCTTAGAAAATTTCTCACATAAAGATTTATCAGTACTTCCAAAGATAATATCATCAACATAAATTTGTACTAATAAAATGTGATTATTTTCTTGAATTCTAAAGAGTGTTTTATCGACTAGACCTTTGGTGAATCCACAACTAATTAAGAACATTGACAAGGTGTCGTACCAAGCTCGCGGAGCTTGTTTTAACCCATACAATGCCTTCTTTAATTTGTAGACTTGATCACCAATGTCTTTTACCTCAAAACCAGGTGGTTGTTCGACGTAAACTTATTCTTCAAGTAAGCCATTAAGAAATGCGCTCTTTACGTCCATTTGATACACAATAAAATTCTTGTGCGCTGCATATGCTAGGAATATCTGAATTGCTTCAAGTCGTGCGACGGGGGCGAATGTCTCATCAAAATCAATACCTTCTTCTTGTGAATAGCCCTTCGCAACTAATCTTGCTTTATTCCTAACAATGACGCCGTCTTCGTTTGCTTTGTTCTTAAAGACCCATTTAGTGCCAATTATGTTTTGGTGCGTTGGTCTTGGAACACGTTTCCATACGTCGTTGCGTTTGAATTGATCTAGTTCTTCTTGCATTGCATCTATCCAACTTGGATCGGCTAGAGCTTCATCAATTTCTTTTGGTTCCAATTGCGATAGAAAGCATGAGAACATTGCATCTTGTTGTTGGCTCCTAGTAGATGATCGCGTTTTCACTCCGTCACTTGGATTTCCAATGACTAAGTCGTGTGTGTGACTTATTAGCCATTTTCGATTTGGTTGGAAATTTGTTGGATTCTCAGAGTTTCCTTCTTGTTGGAATATTTGTTGTGACTCCACTTGTTGCGTATTATTGACGGGTGCTTCTTCGGATTCAACTACTGGAATTTCATCTTGTTGAAATATGGGTGCAACTTCAGTTGTAGGTGTGCGTGACATTTTGGGTATGTCATTGGATATTGCCTCAAATTGGTGAATACCCATGTCACTTGATTCTTCTACTTCCTGCAACACATTATCTTCGAACAAATCATTAGAATTAATCAAATCACGATTACCTTCACCAGTTTTGCCATTTTTGTTGTGATTTTCGTCGAACACAACGTGAATTGATTCTTCGACCACCATTGTTGATTTGTTGAATATTCTGTATGCTTTGCTGGTGTATGAATATCCTAAGAATATTCCTTCGTTCGCATGTTCGTCAAAAGTCTTTAATTGAGACTTTCCATTAACAAGTACAAAACATTTACAACCAAATGTATGAAAATAGGTGAGATTGGGTTTTCTCCCTTTCCATAATTCATATGGTGTTTTGTTATAGGACTTGTGGATTAGACTTCGATTTTGAGTATAGCACGCCGTATTAATGCTTCTGCCCAAAATCTTTTTGGTAGTCCGGCGGCCGTTATCATGACTCGTGCGACTTCTTTGAGTGTTCGATTTCTTCTTTCAGCTACACCATTTTGTTGCGGCGTTCGTGCGGCAGATAATTGATGTAAAATTCCTTGTGAATTGCAATAAGATTGAATTAGTCTGTTCACGAACTCTGTTCCTCGATCGGTTCGTATTGTTGCAAACTTCATGTCCTTTTCGACTTGCAGTAGCTTCAATAGCTCTGACAACTTTGCTAAGACTTCATCCTTTTTCTTGATGAATATTGTCCATGTGTACCTGGAAAAATCATCAACAACAACCAAAGTGTATTTCTTACCACTTATACTTACTGGGTCTACTAGACCAAATAAATCCATGTGTAGTAGACTTAGAGATCTTGATGTTGACTCTTGAGCTTTGGATTTGAATGATGACTTGATTTGTTTTCCCTTCTGACATGCATCGCAAATTTGATCATTTTTTAATGCAATGTTGGGCAATCCATCAACTAGCTTATTTTGTGCAAGTTTATTGATGGTTTTGAAATTTAGATGATTTAGCCTCCTGTGTCATTCCCAACTTGCTTCATTTGAATTGCTTGCCATCAAGCACACAGATTCCTTCGTTGTACTCCAATCAACAACATACATATTTTTCTTTCTCGATCTGGCTAGTACAACTTCCTTCGTAGATTCGTTTTTGACTTGACATTTATCTTTGAAAAATTCTATGAGGTAACCTTTGTCGCAGAATTGGCTTGTGCTAAACAAATTGAATTTTAGTCCTTCGACAAATGAAACATCTTCAACTCTTAGACCATTTTTCACAATTGTTCCGGTGCCTTTTGTTGTTCCATATCGATCGTTTCCACCGAACACTACTTTTGGTCCTTCGATACTTTTGAACTCAACTAGACTAGCTTTATTGTCGGTCATGTGTCGAGAGCATCCGCTATCGAAATGCCAAATTTCCTGCAAAACAGATTAATTGTTTTTAGGTACCACACTTGTTTGGGTCCTTTTGCGTTAGTGATTTTTGGCATCCAAATCCACCTAGATCCCATTGATCCAAGAATATGTGATTTGTAACCATTAAAAACATTATAATCATAGCGTACTTTAGAATAATGATTCAGTGCGGGTTGGGAAGCTGATAGTTGCTTGATTCTATGAAATAGAGCAAATCTGGACTTGGTCCATGGTTTGTATTCAAGCGACCAATCTTCTTCTGAGGGATATAATCTCCCAGCCCCAATTCTCGGAATTCTTCCCATATTCCTATGAGGTTTTATTGCACTAGACTCGTTGGTTCTCCTTTGTGATACAAATTTTTGCCATTTAAAATTTTGTTGTCTTGCCAAGATATCATTGTGTTGATTCGGCCTAGCAACAATTTTCTGGGCATTAATTTTGTTTCCAACTCCTTGTCTCATTGTGCTATGTTGACTTTTTACAAATTTTACCACTGGAACTTTATTAATTAAAGTAGTAGTAGAATTAGTCAACTTTTGAGGGGTTTTAGAACATGATGGATCGTAGCCTAGTCCGGCTTTATCTCCAGCGGGTTTTTGCATGTTTACCATTTTATCCATTATTTTGGATGAATGCGTAAATGATGCGATAACTTCCCAAAGGTTATGTTCTCTAACCTCTCTTGCTTTGCACTCATCTTGAAGTCGAATATTTTCGGCTTTCAAACTACTCATTTCGTTTAGAGCATTTTGCAATTTTTGCGCCATTTCTTCCTTTTCAAGAATTAATGTATTATTGCGCTCTTTGATTTGAGTATGAGTGTCCATGACTTTTTGACAATCTTCCATGAGACTTTGAAATGATTCTTGAGTCTCGAAAGAGGTGTCAACGGAACTGAAAGAACTAAAGGAACTAGAAGATACCTCTTCGTCGGTTTCACGCGCCATTAAACATTCCTCATGTTCGAATGTTTTGCCAACTAAGCACAGTAGCGCCGTATCTTCTTGTGATGAATCACTTTCATCACTAGATGAATTTTCGGATTCGCTTGCTTCTAGCGGATCACTTATCAAGGCTTTTCGTTTGTCCTTCTTGAATCTCTTTTCCTTCGACTTGTATTCTTCCTGCGAAGGGTTAGTAACATTCGAATTTTTGCTTACCTTGGGGTGTGGACATTCTGCCATAAAGTGTCCAGGCTTTCTACAATTATAACACACATTTGTGTTATCTTCGACCGGTTCTTTCCTTGGTCTTCTAAATGAGCTTCCTTGTGGTGAATTCTTGAACTTGTTCGTTCGCATGAATTTTTTGAACTTCCTAACAAATAAGGAGAATTGTTCGTCAGTTAAAAAATCATTATTTCCTACTGACCTTGATGTAGACGGTTGATCGGCTATCAATGCGGATGTTCGTTCATCGCGTTCTTCTTCAATTCGTGTCTTCATCTCGAACTCATACGCCTTGAGATCGCTAAAGAGTTTATTCATAGATATAGTCCTTAGATCTCTATGATCTCGCATCGCGGTTACTTTCATATCCCAATTATATTGGAAGGTAGTCCACGCAAGACTTTGAGAGATATTTCCTTATGGGATATGGTTTTGCCAAGATCACTTATTTCACCAAGAATCTTGACTAAGCGTGCTTCCATAT